TATCTCCGAGCAGACAATAGGGGAGGGACGGCCAACCGGCTTGGACCAGGTTGAAACACATGATGCCATGGATTTAGATGGCCGTGAAGAAGGTGAATTGAGTAATGGGGAGGCAGATGGTGATGGTTCACATGCAGACCATCGAGCCAATTCCCAACGTGCGCATAAGTCACCTGTGATTGAAAACCAGCAAGTCGGAGACAGTCAGAAGCAAGCCACTCTGATCAACTGTGACCCAGGTAAAAATCCACGAAGCTCGACTAGTACTTTGCTGTGCTAATTATGCGACCTTAGAAGTGTCCAGTCAAAATGTAACCACAGCCACGCAAGCACTATACGCGGGCCTCAATGCCCCTTCTGGTGATCCCAATGCTCCAGCCTATATTAACACTTCAACACTACGATCTCTAAAGGATCCCTTTACTTTAAGCGAGAAGGGTACCACCAATGGCTCTCATCCGCAGGTACCAAATGGAAGATCATTAACCCAGCTGCGCATGCAGGCGCAAGGAGCGCTACTAAATCTAGCACCTCACAACATACGGTACAGGGAGTTAGTTAGCGAGGGAATAGATCCAGTCATTCTGAAGGACCTCTACGAGGGTATCGGTTTGAAAGTCACAACCGGGGATTCTGCTGATAAGCAGGCTATGGCATCGAGCCAGGAGACTGAATACCAGCCCCCTGAAGCTGAATCCACGAGGGGCAATGCTGTTCCAACTTCCATAGTCGAAATGGCGCCGCGCCAGGCTCCCAGCACGTATATGCTACCACCAGAGAGTACCACCAAGCTCGCCGTACCAACGGCAAATTCAAATACAGCGACAAACAAACCGTTAGAGCGCAAAGACTTGATTGCCCGCATGTTAGCCGCCAAGGCTGGAAAGTCCATTGCTACCCAACACCAAGAGGCCGCGCCTCCCTCTGCAAGCAAGAACATTAGTCCATCTCAGGAGCCCATACCTCAACCAGAACCCTGTGTCTCGATGAGCGGACAGGCACCAACATCCGAAGAAAATCGTGTGAAGGAAAAGAATAGAGCCCAAACCGAGTTAGCGCGGCAACGAATAGAGCAGCTTAAGAAAATGGGACTGACGAAGTCTCAATCCCAATCAACGAGCGACTCGGTCTTCGGATCACCGTTAACAACTACCTCTCCACCCATTGATACTCTTCCACTAGCTGCTACCCAACAGGATACACGAGCCTTCCAGCCTCTACCTATGAAACATCCATTACCTGAACGGCCTCCCGACCCAGAAACAGCTGGTCCACCCCGAATCCCGGGCTTATTTATGACCGGAGCTGAGCCAATGTTGTCAGAACCTCCTGCCTCCCGAACCAGCCACCAATCTGCCATTATTGAGGCATCCTCTTCTGTTGTGCGAGTGCCCCGCAAACGACCCCGTGCATCAGATTTTACTGATGACATTGTCGAAATCCCCCCACAAAAGCAACAAGATCAGGGCACCAGGATATCAAGTTCTGATCATAAAGTCATCATCGACATCAGCGAAGATGAATCTATGTATGATGTTGATGCAGATGAGTCAATCGACCAAGCTGGTGCAAAGTTTGTGTCTAATTCAGTACAATCGAAGCAAATGACAATTCGAGATGCACCACCACTTTCGGACATTGCGGCTCGACCGGTTCAATCTTATCGTTCGGCATCTTCGAATTCGTTGCCACAGACTCCGGGCAAAGGTCGAGATGAAGAAAATATACGATCAGAGATAATGATTATGCGGCAAAGGATCGCAGAATTAGAAAGGCGGCGTGACGCAAAGCGCGCAGCACAAGCTCAAACTACTGTCGCACCGAATGACTCTACGCTGTCATCTGCTGGACCAACGCCTAACCCGCAGAAAGCTGCGAAAACCCTAGATTTTGGGAAGCTGCCAACCCCTACCCAGGAGTCTCAATATCCAGTCGTTTCTCCTAATCAAATTCCCTTTGGAGCAACAGCGGCTATGGCTCCACCAAGTTCACCACTCACCGCACAACCGAAGAGCCCGTCAGCACGATCGTGGTCTACTTTAGAACCGAAAAAAGCTGAAGATCTTCGACAAAAGTTCCTCCGAAAAAGGGAGATTGAGTCTGGCCTCCCAGCACTTGAGGCTGAACTGTCAAGATCCGAAGCCAGGCTGGCCCAATTTCGTGAGGAAGAAAAGAAGTTACTTGCTGAAATTGCCAAAGGAAAGGCAGGGAAACGCCGCTTAATCGAGGAATTGGAGGAACTAGGTATTGAAACCGAAGGTTTAACGTTCGAAGAGCTACAGCTCACCAAGGATCGTCTGGAGGTTGAGCCTGACATACAGTCTCCAGGTCAGTTAGCTTCCTATTCTAATGTTATTTCTGAGGCACTTATCTTGACCCCTTTCTAGTTCGGACGCAAAATACCTCTGATTTAACTCAGGCACCGGAGGCTGTTGAGCACCATACAGCGCCCGTGCAAGCTATTAGCAGTCCAGATGAACCTCTATCCCTGCCACATAGGCTAGTTGAAGAGAGCTGTGTTTCCACCGCTGCTACAGTCCCGCATACATCCCAAGAAGCGATGGACGTCGCTGCCCAATCGTCTGAGCACACTATGCCGATTCCTGAGAGGGAGGGTAGTGTTTTGTCTTCCCGTTCTAGTTCAGCCATGGACGAATCAATGGGAAGTAGTGCAGATGATCAAGAGGCGATGGACGAAGATGAAACATCGTCGTCTGCTTCAGTTTCCGAAGGCGATAGATCCCCGCCCTCGACCCAGTCAGGTCATCTCGCAAAGGACCTGGCCGTTGATGTACCTATGCAAAAAATACCTATGTTGTCCGAAGAAAACAGCGAAACAAACTTCGCTTCCTCTCCAGAACAATCAGTTGCATCTGATACATATGAACCACCTGAGCCTGACGCAGAAATGCAATCTGATTCTTCTGTTGCACCCCCTTTTAGCCCAGCGCCAGTTGCCCCTCCGCAGCCCGTGGATGTTGACTCGGAAACTATGCCATTAACCCAAGATGTTGAAACACTAACCCTATCCGACCAGAGATCTCCACAGCCAATTCATGAAGAGAATATGGAGGTACTTTTGTTGAACCTTTTTTACACATTCTAACGCACTAACTTCCGTATTCAGGATGTCGAAGACACTGGTCATCACTTTACTCCCTACATCAGTCCCCTACGCCTATTCAGAGCATATCGATATCACCCCAATTTCGTAACTGATATTGAAGGAGGCTTTCGCTCCCTTACATATAGTCATAATATCGATCATAACAGGCCGTTGTGTGAATTCGAAGTTTCAGGTGGTATTTGCAACGATCAGTCATGCCAGAACCAACATTTTCGGGACATGATTTTGAGTGGTGCGTTGAAGGAATTGATACCTCACTATTTTAATTGTCTCTTTATGTTATCTGATTGCCCCGTTTTACCTCTTCAACAGTACCCCAATTTTTCTTTTCTTTTTTTTTTTTTTTTTTTTATATCCTCCTTTCTTAGCGCTAGCTTTTCCAGTCTATCCGTTATATTCCCCCTCCCTTTTTGATTTTTCCCGCTGATGCTCAATCACTGACATAGCATCTCCATTAACTCTCACAGATGATAAAATCCTGGTTGAAATGGGCTCCCTACGAGAGGGCAAAACGCCAGCAGACCGAGAGGAGTATGTCACCGGGCTAAAACGAATCATCAACGACATGCGACGGGATAAAGTGAAAGATTTTAATACAGTTGCGACGGAAATTGCTGCTTATCGTAGGCGTTTCCTCCAGGACCCCTCCCGAGTTCTAGCATTATAATTTCCAACAGGGTCGGTCCGCTTTGTTCTTTTGTAGCCCTTTTACCCTTTCCAAGAGTGGCCCGATACCTGGGCAATCCAAGGTGAGGTGAGATTGCCGGAGTTGCAATCGCCCAGCTCGAATTGGTTTGAATGAATAGCAAATACCCCAAAGGTCTTTTTCCCCAGCACTTTGCGAGGGGAATCCAGCGCACCACAATCTTCTTCCGACTTTCTTGTTTTGCTGCACCAACAGCTTCTATTCTCCATCAATCGCCCTTTCGTAACTGCCTGTCTATCCTGCTCTGGGAGCAGTAGGTCGGCTCATCGCCTTACAAGCATCGATGGCGCGGAGTTTGGCTGTCGTATTCTTCGGGCTTTGACCAAACTTGAATTTTGACTTAGGCACCCCTTACGGTTTTCCATTGGTTTAACCGGATCAGACAGGGCAGTCTTATTATTCAGAGGTACCTCCGGCTTTAACTCTTAGGGTCTTCTAAGATTTGAAGTCGACGAGAAAAGCACGGATAACCCGACAATCCTGGTGGCAGCAGTGGGTGGACTCCCAGTCGTGTCTCGGACCTCGTTGGAATTCGACCTTGTAGCCACCAGTTGCGGTCCTGTTCTGAAGCTCTCGCCAGAAGGACTTTGTTATTGGCAAAGTAACAGGGTGGAAAAGGAAAGAAACAGTAGTTATCAATTTGAAGACGAGATATTGGCAATTTCCACTTTTGCTTGGTTCCAACACTGGAGACACGCGTGTACGAAAGCATCGATTTGCCATATTTCCCATCCCATCTGTAGCATTAGCTATCGAAACTATTATACATCCACACACTTTTATTCCAAATACCCTAAAAGCTAGTTTAGGTATTCGTTTCTAGCAATTCGTTTCTCAGGACAAAACTCCCTGTCGTAACTCCATACCTCGCCACATTCTTTCGGGGCACAGCAGACATCACTCTGAACCAACATAGTAATATCTGATAATTGTAGAGAGTCTTCGAGGCTGCATCGTCGATGCATCCAGGCAGCGCGGCGTGACTCCGGCCGGGGGTTTGTCAGCAGCCCGCCTCCGGGGGAAGGAAGTGGGGAACTGCCGGGGGCCGAACTGCGGACAGCCGACCAACAACATTGCCCGCTTTCACTGCTTTGGCCTTCTCTTTGAGAGAAGAATAACTGACTGCACGACCATGCCGGCAGAGACGACGAGCATGCCCCACTAAGTATGCCGCGACCAAAGGTGCATCCCAACAAGCGCCAGAGGACGGCCCAGGCATGCGTTCTCTGCAGAGCATCCAAGAAGCGATGCAGTGGCGCTGTGCCATGCGGTCACTGCGTCCGACGCGGGCGTGCCCACGCCTGTAAGATGTCGCCGTTGCACACTGGTGCCGGCCATCCAATTCCCCAAGCAGCGGCCGGGGCGCGAGCGCTGGGTTCTACAGGAGGGAATCCGCGGTCGTTATCGCCCGAAGCGCCGCACAAAACGCATCCGCGGATGTTACGCAACCTTAGAGGCGAAAGGGGTACGTTGAAAGATTAATCCCTAGGCTGCAAGGGCGAATTTTTCTAATGCTTAATCACTAAGTCTACATTGGCGGTGCTGCATCCCTATCATTCTTGCAGTTCATCAGGGAAACTGTCGTTCAATATACAGGGCCTTCAGGCTTTACTCACAACCCCAAGGTTGATAGTATGTTGGAAAATGCATCTGCCGCAACAGATATACCGTCGCACAGTGAGGATGATACTACCTTTGACGAGAAGGTGGCCTTGCTCAGAATCTACCGTCTTGCAGTAAGTGAGGAGGGCGCCCGTGCCTGCAGCCAGTATTTACTTAAGCAGTTAATTGCATTAGACCGCCGGGATAATTGACGTCTTATCGGCCTCTGAAGCTATGCAATTGCTTGAGGAGATAGCCAACTCAGAAGCGTCCCTTCACAGCTCTAGGGTGGCTGTTGCAGATCTTATCCTTGCAATTGGGGCCCAATGTCCCAAGACAAGTACCTCTGTTTCCCAGAAAGAGAAGTTTTTCTTTACTCGTGGGCAGAAGCGCGCCTTTGCGGGTATGCTAGAAGATCCAAACTTAGAACTGGTCTGGGCTTTTCTCCTCATGGCATTCTATATGCTCGGTGCATGTCGAAGAAATGCAGGTTTCATGTATTTGGGAGTGGCCACTCGAGCTGCTGTCGCCCTTGGCCTTCACCATGAAGACTCTTATGCATGTCTCACCCCTGTCGACCGACAACGAAGGTGCATATAGTGAGAACATATTTTAAAATAAAGGGAACAGTGACTGATGATACCGCTTGATTTATAGGCTGAAAACCTGGATGAGCCTATGTGTCTTGGACTTGCTTGTGAGTTCAATCCTTGGACGGCCATCGGCAACATTGTCGCTGCGTTCGGAGCTGGGAGACGGTTTGGTTTCAATGATAGAACCGAATGATAGAGCTCAGGTTCGCCTTCTAGCTTCATATGCAATAACTGATTTAATGGATACCGTCACCAGCGAATTATATGGTCAAAAGGCGGTTTCTACCGACGCAGCCGAAGAATTTCTCCGAAAACTAGATCGCTGGAGCAAGGAACTTCCTGATGCTATGCGCACCGCATCCCCTAATCTTAACCGACCAGAGGAACAAGAGCATACTTTAGGGAGCATACAGGTTGCTTGTTTCTATTACTTTGCAACTATGTTGGCTACCCGTCCATTTCTAATTTCAACCCTTACTGCTCGTCTGGTTCGATCACAGGGTGGTCTTTCAAGTGAACCACCTACTCCAACCGCTCGAGAAGACCCCACGCATGCAAAACTGGCATCAGCATGCGTTGACTCTGCTGTGTACCTCATACAAGCCTGCCAGGATGCCCGTAAAGCTAATTTATTCCTCGCTAATATGTGTATAATGACGTAAGAGCTTTCCAGTTACAAATTTGCTAATAGGCTAGGAAACACGCGCTAATTCTGTTGAAAATTTATAGGGCGCTTGTATTTGCTGCTGCTCTTGTTCTCGGGTTCGCCATGTTCGCCAAAAATAAGCCAGACCCTGAGGTTGAAGCTGCTTTCGCTAGCGCGAAAGATATACTCGACATATTCAGCCTCCTGTCGGCCCAAGCTGCACATTACTTTGAGATCCTTGTACTGTTGTCGAACGCAGTTAACGAGCAACGGCAACGACTCGCGTTGCAGCCAAAGCGAAACAAAAGTCCCTATGTTGGCCGCATATTCAGTTTGATTCCCCCTGAGACGGAAGCATTTAGCACCAACCGTTCGGCCGACATTGACCCAGACGTTATGCCCTCAATTGCTTCTTCTGGTGAAGCCGGTGATCCCCATAATAGCTGGGGTTCTCCCACCTTTCTTCCCGAAACTCCGGTCCAAGCCCTGGAAGAGGGAGGAGGAGGAGGAGGAGGAGGAGGAGAAGAAGAAGAAGAAGAAGAAGAAGAAGAAGAAGAAGAAGAAGAAGAAGAAGAAGAAGCATTCTTTGGGTGGGATAGCTTACATTTACCCGTATGGGACAACTTTCCGTTCCTGACAGACCCATTCATTCCGGCCGGTGATTAAAGAGTGTTGCGATATAGCGATCGAAATTTGCGTTCCACTGATATTCCCGAACTGCAATCCCGCATATACATCCTCACCGTCATGCGAGGCCTATGTCACTAGACAAATGGCGAGCACTCTACCACTTCACGAACTGATGAGCTATGCGATTTGACAGTTGTGCTACTCCTTTGATTTTAATATAGCGTGCTGGGTTGCCAGATATAGCCGCCCACTCAGATCGCCTTACGATATCGGATAGTGGATCGTAAAACTAGAATATCTTGCAACGGCTGTTTTTCTGAAACTGCTTGTAGAGCTCTTGCTCAAAATCCTCTCATCTTAGCCAGGGGCAGGTTACAGCTGCTTCGCCTTTGATGGAAAGTTAAGACTCGACCTATCTCCATGCCTCTGGGAGAAGTCTGAATTGAGATTGGACGAGAGCGTGTGAAGGTAGATTATCTCATTATGTTCATGGATTATTATAACTACAAATATAATAAAAGGAAAAAAAAAGAATAGCTAATGTTGGCTACAGTTTATTGCTTCCACCCCTACGTTGGGCGAATACCTCTTCAACATGTTTATGCATATCGTAACTACAAGCCAGTTAGTACTCACTACTTCTTTAAGAAGTTTCACAAGCAAACTCACGTATTCATCTCCTCGATGGTGAGCTTATTCTTCTCATCCTTAACTTTATACAGTGGGTTGTTCGTGTTATCGGAAAAGCCTGTATCTATCTTAGTGCGTGTCTTCTATCAGAGCATGCCTTTGGCTACTTACCAATACGCTCATGAATATTTTCCCTCGCTCTAGCAGAAGCAGCTTGCACTTTTGTAGCTCTTGGTTTGCGGACTGCTTCGTAAACCTCAAGAGCTTCCCGGATATCCCCGTTGAAGTGCTTCTCGCTGAAAACGAGACCAAGACAAGCAGCATCTTCGATCGCCATACAAGCGCCTTGGCTTTGGTCAGGCATCATCTACAGCTTGTCAGCTTTGGATTCAACTCAACTGGGTTGTCAAATGGTGTTACCGGATGTGCAGCATCGCCCATGATGCACGCCACACCTTTTTGCCACCAAGCATACGGCTCATGCACCCACAACCGCCATGGTCTAATTTCCTTTCCGATCTTTAGATGTCCGAATACCTGAGGGTCCAAATCGGGATATGGAGCCAATAGCTCTTCCACGGTTGCTTCACTGTTCCAATTTTGAGCAGCATAGTCTCCTTTCTCGCGGGGGAAGAAACAGTAGTAGGACAGCAGACTACCACCGTTGCACGGAGAAAGGACAATCTTATTGACGTTATGATGTCCTCCCCAGTATTCGATCGCGCTATTCTGTGAGTAATCGACAAGGCCTAGCTTCACAGCTGTTGCTGTATCGACGTTGGCGTGCAGACAGCTTGAGGAAGCCGCTTTCTTCTCTGGATGGATTCCGATGAGGGACCGGACTGCAGATCCGATTCCGTCCGCACCAACCACGACGTCGTGTTGCGCGGTGGTTCCGTTTTCGAATGAGATTTTGCCGGAGTCAACATCAAGGTCCTTGCACTACACCCATAAAACGACATTAGCAGGTCTATCGGTTTATTTACATCGCAATGGTCGCCAGACGAACCTTGTGGTTAACAACCAGTTTGACGGGTACGCCTTTGCCTTCTCCGACTGCACTGTCCATCAACATCGCATGCATATACTGTCGGTGGAACATGTTATAGACCTGGGTGTGATTTCGTCAGCACGCTCATTTGCTCCCTCGTTCTGGCGTACGCTTACATGTCCCCATTTCTCTTCATAGTCAGCCAGATCATAGACACTAACAGGCTCGCCAGTCTTCCAATCTCGATTGATTAGCTTTCGCAAGATAACGGGGTCGCCCTTTGCGACATCGACTTCCCACTCATGAAGCCACCGGGTTCCATTCGCAGCGCAAGAGATCGAAGCGCCCACTTCGCCAGCATAGTCCGCCCGTTCATACATGGTAACCTTGTGACCGGCACGTCTTAGCGCAATGGCAGCTGCTAAACCGCCGATGCCACCACCGACGATGGCAATGTCGAGGGGCCGCCAACCGGATTGTGAAGGCATTTTGATGGACTGAGTGTTACTGTGCTGCTGCGAGAGAGTAAGCTCGTAGGTTTGGTTACATTTTCTCTGTCCTAGGTCGCCGTCGAGCCCTTTATCTACTTCAGCGTCTTGAATTATCGAAGTGACGAGGTGCGCGGGCCGCGCACTGGATAACGGCGGAAGCGTACCCTACCCGCTGCCGACCCAGTTGTATCTGCTCTTTATACCCCTTCGGATTACAGACTTTACCCGACCAGTGCAATTTTCTCTTGATGGGTTGAAACACTAACTAAATATCAAATCAAACGTTGAATAAATCTTGACTATTCGTCAAAACTGCGCATTGTCGCGATCGCGTTTGATGCTTGGCTCTCCATTTGTTTGGGGAAATTCGCCGTCGTCCGGGTTTTGGAAGAAATGCGGGGAAGAAAAATCATGGGGTAAAGCTGGGGCAGGCCAATCAAACTCGCCGATGACGTTGTCAATCACCAAAATTCCAAATTGTGCACCGAACAGCTGGCCATCTTCCATTCTGTTTTGGTTGTGCCATTCTCGGACTTGAACAGGTCCCAAAAGGAGTGTAGTTTTAAGACGATAAAGGTGTTTTGACCGCTACAGAGTTTGGTAGTGGAAGTTCTCCGACGCCACATTCGTTGACTGGCGTTTCGAACTTGATTAAGAGAGTTCCTTAACACTAAGCCTTTGGGACCTGCTTAATTTATGTAGGGTTCCAGGGTGCTAGCGCTCATGCTCGAGGCTGACGAGGGCCATAAGCTTTGGGGGGGGAAAGCGTGGGTGGAATGCACAGAGGTAGCCAGTTTTTATCTACTCTACATCAATTTTTAAGGTTATTTGCCACCAACAACACCGTAAGAGACATATAATGAATGCCATTGTAATTCATGCTGGAATTCTTATGTGGAGGAAAATTGCTTGAGGGTTGTAAATTGGCCAAACACTGCCACATGCCTCCGGTTGTATAACCAAGCTTGTAAGCCGTTCACATCAACCCCAAGTGAATGCGGCAAGGTCCTTGGGAATAACAATTATCGAGTCATGACCACAAATCTTACCGCCTTCTGATGTTGTAGTGCCCCGGGCCTATAGAGATCAATAGCCAAGTGAGCATTCGCTTTCCAAGCCATCCTTCTAGTCAAATGATGAAGCATTTTCTTCAAGATACTCGATTTTGGGTGCAAGACTAGGATCAACAAGCGATTCAACATCGGGATAGAGACTTGGTAAAGTGCGTCACCTGCTGTGACCATTGCCGGACAGACTGAAGCTAATCATAACAGAGAATTCTCCAGCAAGGTGGGGGTAAGATTCAGCGCCGGAATAGGAATCAGGCTCAAGAAATCGTGGCGAAGTGTCTGCAAGTAGAAACTATGTCTCTATTTTTGTGCGGTTGCTGATTTCAGGTTCATGTGAGCTTGTGGAGTGTAAATACCCCCGTTCCTCGCGGCAAGGTAGTCTTGATGGTAGCCATTAAGATAGATCCTATGAATCGATGGATGAGAGATTTTATCGTTCAATTTCCAGGATCTGCAAGTCAGTATCAAATAGTAGGGGAGTTGAACAGCAGCGATAATCATCACTGATTACCCTATGGCCAGGGATTTGGAGTTCTCTCCCCGGTGTGGGGAAGCCTGTACGGAGGACGCCGAGGTCAGAGCCGGAACCAGGGTAAAAGTGCCGACGCTGCCGCCTTAGAACGAGCCAGCACAGGGACTGAGACGATTGACTTTTTATAATCAAAGAGTGGAGGAGTTTTAGGAATTTCAAATCCATCGAGCATTGCCTGATTGGTGGGGCAGAAAGGAATTTACGCTAGCAGACGCTTGGGAAACTTCTGGAAAACATCTAGCGACAAACACCAGGATCCAGGGCTGCAGGAACGGGATAAACGGAGAATAAAATGATACCTGGTCAAGGTTCAAGGAATTTTGTCCCGTGAAGTGACAGATTGCGTGGTATTATAGGGCAACGTGAATCAGCAAGTTTCGGTTCCTCTTTCAGCTTGGCCTTATGTGCGACCAGGTGACCGACCACAAGTTCTTCCGTATTGTCCCGAAACTGACCTTGGTGAGGGATTTTGAAGGTTGACGAGATTAACCCTTTGCGTCGGTATGAAGCCTCATCTTGTGAACGTTGAATTCCAGAGCAACGAGACAGTTGTCGTAGTCTCGCTCCCGGGACTTCTCAGAAGATCATTTGAACCGACATGGACCGCAGGGCGATGACGATGCTCCATACTAGTTAGTTGGATCCTTGTCTGTCAGTTTAGTCAATGGTAGGTTGCCACTTTCTATTTTTCTCTTTGTCAGGATTGGACCGCGGAGATGGTTATACGATTGATCTTGGTATATTTCCCAAGACACCATTCGCAGGATCCGACCTTATGAGAGCCATCACGGGAGCCTGACAGCCCCTTGGCCAGAACTCTTCTTGACGCATGAAGTCCAGGTGCAAGAGGCCATACCCGGCCGGATAGGAATGCGAGCCTTCCCACAACCCACGGTTGTGGAAATCGAGAGACGAATTGGCTGGTCGGGCTGGTCGGGGCGTTTTTTTCCTGAGGAACAAGAGATGGCTGACTTTTTAACGATCTAGCACAGCCACCTGAACGCCTTTCCCCAAACCAGCGGCCTGGCTTAAGCTTTGGCGGGGGTGGGGCTCGAGCATGTTCTCTTGGTGATGAGCGGCCGCCAGAGCGGCGCTTGGCGGAAATCACATTTTCCGTGGCTTGAAAAGGCCTCCGCTCAGCCTTAAAACGCCTTGAACCTGAGGATGAAGGACGGGATTGATTTCTGCAACCAGAAGGAAAATAACTTCACGTCGACAAATACCTCGCCCGCTGGGGCCAATAATGCAAAGGAGAAACGGGACAAGGGTAGAGTTCCTGAGTCGCTTTGAATGCGCCCCCCCCCATTGGTCTGAAGTTAGTGCATCCAATCGGGCCACGGTAGTCGAGGAGCATCGCAGTTCATAGTATGGAGAGCGCGACGCGTCCATATCGGCGTTTTCCAGGCGGGTTGGGCCGGACGACCCTCGTAACTCATTGATCTCAGCCGGATAATTGTTTTGCAATGAATCTCCCGACCTTGCGGTCATGTCTGGCAACAGGCCCTCTGTCGGGCATCTGTTCCAAAATGCAGTTCCTGACGCCGTTTCTCAGAGTGGGGCTCCCAGGCAAGGTAACTATGTAACAAGAGTTCAACCATCTAACGACATAGTTATGTCATGTGGGGTCTACGTCAGGGAGCGGCACTCCAGCACTGTCAACACACGCGAGAACAGGCGACTTCCGCCCATCTGACTCCGTATCCTGAGGCCTGAAGTTTTGTGGGAAGATAAAAATACCCTACCTCTTGTTTCAAATCCCATGCATGAACATGCTGCAGCATGGACGGGATGAGACTCCTGCTCAGCCGGAATTCGGTCCTAGTGACTCAAATCAATCATCGTCAACCTCCAATCAGCCCGCGCTCTCTCGAAGGGTGCCGCATGCAAATTTGTCAAGCGCATGCAGGATTGAGTAATAGTGGGACTCTCAACGATTCAAGCGCCGAGTGTTTGTCCGGCCAGTCGCCCAGAAATCCTTTTTCGACGCAAACAAGGCGGCCTTGACTCAACGGCCATTAGGCAACGTCTCGCTGACTCCCGCCAGTTACCAGGCTAACCGCATCAACCTTGGGCCACCCCAGGCAGCGATCGCAATCCAAAGAAAGGATCGGGGCTCCCGCAGCTATTCTTTTGGTCCACGATATGATGCGACAAAAATGTTTCCCTACGAGTCTGTGTCCGTGCCCGCTACTCCGTACATCCTCCCCCAAAGCAAAAGTCGCCAGCGTGCCAATTCGCTTATGTAATTGAGGCTCGAGCGGGACGCTTAGTAACTAACACACATGGGGAAAGCGGGTCTCCTTGGCGGTGCTAAATTAGTTAGGCCGGTGGGGCGAGGCAGTTTTAAAGAGGCTGAAAAGTGACCGGCAATGTATTCGATGTACTCCTTCACGGGCTCAATTTCCGTCTGGTCTCAAGGCTGACAGAAGTTTGATGCTTTCATGTATGTACTATTACTCAAAAATCATCATACGACAATCGATTGGTGTCAATCGGGAGCAAAGGAGAAGAAACTGGATTTGAAAAATTGATTGCTTAACATTGAGACTTCTATCATGCTAGCACAACATCCCGAGCCTAGACCAGTAACCCAACTCCATCGCTATGTCCATTAACCAAGTCAAGTGAATGCCGATAACCTCTATGAAAATTTCCGTAACTCGTGCATCAAAAATCCCGTCATTGTATCCATTCCAATATTACATCGCTAAAAAACGCTCGTCAAAAGAAAAGGTTTCGTCGAATCGCAGGGTGCATGGCGAACGACTCGAAATAAACAGGCAAGGACAATCGCAACCGATTTCTAGGAAGAAAAAAGTGAAGTCAGCACATTGTCACTAAATTTATTAGGAGCACAGTATCCTTACACCCTAGATGGCTATTATCAAACTTATTTGACATAGCGGCAGTAGGGGCAAGCATCATGAGAGCAGTTAACGCATCGAGGCTCGAGCTGGTAGACTTTTGGGCCATCTCCGCAGCCGCAGCAGACATATAGGTACGTTGGCGCTGCGCGGAAGTACCGACGGTCATGGCCCATTTGAGGTATTGAGATTACCGCGGGGTTGTCAAATTCTGGCTCGCGTTGTGCTGCGTAGGACGACATTTCTGCTGCGTAGTGGTAGCTATCGTGGTCTCGCAAACACTCGTGGTGGCAGCAAGGTGATTTTGCTCCGCGGTGTTGACAATTGATGCAGGCAGGATAGTTTTCGATACTCATTGGGCCGAATTTGCAGCGACAGCAAACCCAGTGCGTAGCGTACGGCATCACACGGGACCTTTTTTTTCAACAGGAGAGAGGAGACCACTTTGCACAAAAGAATTGGCCTTTAATAGAGGAAGATTGACTCTCAAGTTCAAATAGATTTGGGGAATTCGATGTGATTAAAGGAAGACGAAGTTTGGAGTGACAGGCTAGAAGATTCAAACCTGAGGGTCAAGCTGGGTTTAAATAGCGAAAAACAGCCAAAGTGCCATGAATGCCTGGAGAACACGGCGGGCAGAAACTGCCTGGAGTTACCAGCATCGCCTCGATTGGAGTCAGCTGGTATGGAGGACCCATCGTGTCGCGAGCAGGCAAAAAGGCGCTAAGGTGCCTACAGAAAGCCCCATCGTAGGCCTCGAACTTTCCACCTTGGCGTTTTCGCTCCAAAGCCTTGAGAGGGATAACAAGCATCACCCGGCGTAGATCTTCAAAGCCAAATTCCAACACTCCAGTCTTTGCTAAGTCATCGGGTTTGAGTCAATTGTCGGGGTGGGCCCCACCCCCGTTGTCATCGGAGCCAAGCGAGGCGCTAACTAGGCATTTGGTGTCTTTACCAAGACACTTCTCGCGAATGTAGCCCAGGCTGCAAAAAGGCGCTTCCCGCTCCTATTCTGCAACAGCGCCCTGCTCGGCCAATTCCGCTGCCTCTCACGAGGCTTCGCAGGCGGTGACGGTCATGTGACCTCCGATTTTCGAGGTCCAAAGGTGGTCCTTCTGACAATTCTCGGTTTTCAGGCAACAAAAACAACAAAATTCCACTTTCGGCCCGCGGACTTCCCCCTTCTTTCATAGAAATAAATGAAATAATACCAAATTGTAATTCTACCCGAAACACCATTGCTGGTTGCAGCTTGGTATCTGGATTCAAGATGCAGAAAATGGTCTCTACTATGAGATAACCCAAACGAAACGAAGGAATCAAATCGATGAGCCAGAGAGACCCGACATGCTCTCATTATCACTCGAAAGAGGAGAAAATAGCCTAGATCCTAGGCAAACACAATATGAGACACAACCCCAGGTGGCTCCGCAAAGAAGCATCACACAAAATAGAATTAGAGCTAAGCAAATATCACAAGGACCAATTGACAGTTCAAAAGGTAACAAGAGGGTTATATAAAACTGTCAACCACAACAAAGCGTAAGTGAAAATGCCTGTTATTTTTCAGATCCTCTTTGTTTGATATTATGGGGCATTTAAAGCAATGCAACCCACACGCAGACAGCGAATGGATGAATACAGTCCAGAATTTGGACATTTCTGGTAGCAATGCCAGGCATATGTAGAGCATTTTTGGGTACCAAATTGTTGTTATGAATATAAATGTTTTTGATCTGCATGCTGTTGGATTGTGTAGAAGATTATCGGCTGGGCTGCTGGTGAGGTAGAGGAAAGTTGAGGTGCGGCTCTGGACAGGTTGAGCGCTCAAACTTCAAGAGCTGATCTGCATGAAAGGCTTCTTAGAAGGCCCGATCGGCTGGGACGCATATTGGGTAGTGCTATGTTCATTCGGTCGCCTACTCTGTTTATCAGGCGAGTAAAGCAAGCAAACTGGTGAGTCAGACCATGTTAAGCCAGCACAAAGCTGAACATTTTAAGGCTTTTATCTAACCCTGAGTGACAGTGCCGAAGCAGTTAGGATATTTTAAAGATAAACCCGAACGGTGTGAACACTTACACCATTCGCTCATGAGGTCCATATGAATTGCGGAAGTACAAAGGAACAAGAAGAGGAATCTTGCATAATACCCGCAAACAGGATGGTCCGTCTGAGGCCGGATGCCTTGATGTTAAATCAAATTTTCCGGGGGAAACAAAAAGGCGTACCATTGTAATTACAAGGAAACATTCGATGATCACGCACCGGGTCCTGAGAATTCGAAACAGGCATCGGACAAAAGTTTGATATGATTATTAGAGATCAATGTCGCAATTGCTCTCTTTAGCTTATGCTCTGCCACCTTGGCTCGCTTCAGGCATGAGAGATGAAGGCACCGGGAGACGTCTGTAGCATAGCCAGATAAGATAACCATCCGTTGCACGTTCTGGGGAGGCTTTCATTGTAAAGCAAATCTAAGCTTGTCGAGCCGCGCTTGAAGGGCCGGGAGGTAACTGGTAACATAATCCATCGGCAACAACTGAGTGACTTCCGAACGCACGCGTCTTTGCTTGTCTATGTTTGCGGCCAGGCCGATTCAAGGAAGTGGAGTTCTTCCGGGGGTAGTGTAAAACTGCAAGGAAGATGCCATGCGGGACAGAGGAGATGTTGTGCAAGGGGAAAGGTAAACACGGCTTTTGGGACGACTGATCCGAAGGGTCCCTTTTATGTGTATTTCATGAGGCGCTGGAGCCGCAAGGGCTCAACACGAGCCCAGGCTGGAGAGTGTGATAAAGGTGCAGAACACCCAGCCAAAGCTCGTATCCATCGAATCTAGCTTCTACCTGCTTCATCGAGAAAAGCGAGGCTCTCCAACTTATAATTATCGGAAAAGAGCGCTTTTTGAAGTGACAGGATGAGCGTGTTGCTACCCCGCAGATCGGCATGAATGTGACATGACATCCCACCACATTGTAGCAGAGGAGTGGACGCACAAGGTGTAAGGAAAGATATGAATAGCAGGCAAAACTTGACCAATCGTCATGATGATAGGCTTGGTTGGAACTCGATGAACTTCGACGCGAGAGTTGTTGAGTTTGAAGAGTTGCTTGAGCAAAGACGTGTGCGAAGCGTTCGGGTGAAGTTGGCACAGTAAGCACGGGATTCGCGCTATTCTTAGTTTGGGTTGGTCGATTACCCCATGTCAGGTGACCAGTACAAGAAACTGCCCAATGATGTCATGGCAAATGCTGAATCAGCATTACCCCACGTGATGACCTGCTATCCAATGAATTCGACTGATTGACAACTCCATTGTCAGGAGCTCCGCTGGAGGCTGAGCCTATATTGCCTTTTATCGAGCAACACAAACTATGATGTATCGGTAGCCCACGCTGAAGGATCGCTGTGGCCAATGGCCTCAGATAAGAGAGTAAACATCGGTGCGGCGCGAGTCATTCCCGTGGTTCTCGGTGGTTTACTTGCCTATGGAAGTTATGTCTTTACAAGACCATTATGCAGTGAGTTCCATTTCCGGCGGTAGGTAACTCCTGAAGAAAGCACTGACCATGCCGCAGTTGATTATTTTATAAGTCCTCCGCTCCACTATGGTGCACCTCCCCCCCGAAGAGGCCTCGCGACCGGGTTGCTGATCGTGTTCTACTTCCTGCTGCTTGTGTTGGCCGTGTCCTACTTCCGAGTTATCACCACGATCATATGGAACCCTGGGTTCCTCCAGCGCGGGAATCAGTGGCATCAATCGCGCACCGGGAAACCCGAAGGAAACACGAAACGGAGAAAGCGACGGCACAGACCGGGAACTTCCTACCCAGACGATGCGAACGTCGAACATGGCCCTTACCCTATCGATGCCTACGGCCTGGAGGCGTTTTACTGCAAAGATATATTTGTATGTGAACAAGACGGCAGGCCTCCGTGGTGCTCAACCTGTTGCCAATGGAAGACGGATAGGGCTCACCATTGCAGTGAGGTCGATCGCTGCACCAGAAAACTCGACCATTTTTGTCCCTGGTGAGTCGACCCATTGTCGGAACTTCTTTTTTTGAAAATACTAACATGCATGCAGGGTCGGAGGCGTCATTAGCGAAAGTTCATTCAAATTTTTTATACAGTTCTTATTTTATACCTTTCTCTTTACGACTTTCAACGTCGTGGTCTTTTCTATAGTTATCGCCGAATATCGAAGAAATGTACGATATGCTTTTCCGTTTCTTTAACTGCTGATTGGCTGTATCAGTCAGTTTATATCCCTTATGAACATATTTTGGCTAACTTCGAGATTTCAAACAGTCTGGGTACCTGGAAGTGCAATGGCTGGTGGCTTTAGCGCTGTAAGTTTTCTTCCCCAAATAAACGGCGCTGACAATGAGCTACTAACACCTAGAATTAGATGCGGTTTATTTTGCTTATTTTCCTTTGGAATGCTAGTTAGCTCACTGCACCTTGCATTCATCAACTCTTCCACCATCGAGAGCCTCACTCGTCATACCAAAGTTTGGACCTTAGCAGTTCTAATTCCCCGCCCAAAGGACTTTTACGAACTCCAGTCCCGCCGCAAAAGTCCAATTCCCGTCGTTATATATCCAAGTAGTCCTATTCCTTCTTCTTCGAGTTCTACCAGAACAGCCACCTCAAATGCTCCACCTCGCGAATTTGCCATCCTATCCACGAAACCGGGAGAAAATCCCTTTGATCTGGGAAGTCCCCTGGCAAATTTGAAAGAAGTCATGGGCCACAGTTTAATTGATTGGCTGCTACCGCTCAGATATAGCCCGTGCTCGGGCTACGGTAGTCAGGAAAGCGCGTATGCGTTTGGCCCTGTGGTGCAGAGGTTAAAGAAAGAGAATGGCTTGGATTGTTCAGAATGACGTGGTGATTGGGTTTATTTCAGGATAATATATGCAACAGACATACACTCATAAAATACCCTGGTGTTGGCGCTTTTTCACTTTTTGGAAGGTTAACTTCAGCATCGTCTATTTATACCACATTTTGTTCTTTCGGATTACTTTTATCACTGTATTGGTAAGTGAATTTTCCTTGCTACTGTGCTACCGTTCTATGGCTTTGGGATGTTGGATTTTGTTTGAATTGTAAGAGGTGCAGGTTGTTGTGGAGCCTGGGCAGTTCTTTGTGTTTGGATATCCTGTTCTCTTATGAAGCATATACATAGCAGGAAAGCAGGCGATGCTGGAATGCAAGAAACTTTAGTGAAAGTATCAGCCCAGTATATACATCCCTAAATAGTTTTCAACCGAGATTTAAAGTATCAAAGAGTCAAAGTCTACTGTACACAACCAAAACACCAAACGACATGGCGAAATATGATTACTCCGTACAAGATCTCCGAAAAACAGTGTTACTAGGTAAGAGAGTCCTGGAACAAAGTTTATCCTTCCCATAACCCTGATGCAGGTGGATAATTTGGAAATATCAGAATAGACAAAGACACCAGGTTGTATAAGGAGTAGCCAGTATAACCAAAGCAAAACCACTTCAAATCTCTAGCAGTTATGCTTTAAAGGCAGTAACGCATACTGCAAAAGCGAGTCACCGGAGTCGTTGGGGGACCAAGTAAAACCGTGTGACTCAAATCAGGTTCAATTGGCTTCGAAAGCGCAAAGCCGACGAGGAACTTCTCTTGATTATGCTCCACGCAAGCATAATACCCGAGGGAGGAAGAATTCAAAACGGTTTAGGGCGGGTTCTAACGGACGTTAAGTGTAAACTTTGCACTCTGTGCACCTATAATGGTGACATATGGAGCAGCATTCAGCAGCCAGACTTGGATTGTTGATATGGCCCTCCCGACAACAAACCCACCAACCTCGCATAGAAGGCTGCGCAAATTGTTGCGGGAGGTATTGAACGTGACAGCTCATAACAATATAAGCGGGTCGTTGGGGAACAACGCGATCTGGGAGTCTGGGAAGTGAAGCTAAAATCTCGCAGCAGGATAGTCTAGATAACGACTTGGTTTGTTGCAGAACCTTTGATGAGTGTGGTTGGGGCGCCGTTTGTCCGACACTGCTATCGCTCCCTCCGCCACATGCACCACGATCCATACCATCCCGGCTGGGGGTTTGCTCTTTCATTGAGAGTTCGAATTGGCGCGGGTAGTCCATGATGTGAGACTGAGTACAACGACGGGAACTTCAAGTGTCGCTTAGGAATCGAGAGACAGTGGAAAGAATGGAAGTTGTTCGAGGTTGTCTCAAGTGAGTAGCGATAGGCTAGCACGACTTTGTGTAGATGGGTCTTTGAAACTGCAGTTGACACTGGATTGATGTGGATATATAGATATACCTGAATAAAATGCTTGATTGCTTTGAAGAAAAGGAGAAGGGGGGAAAATCTGCCAATATTTATGTAGCTTAGCATCTTTAGGCAGGATGAAAGGAAAACGTAATTGTCAAGACCACATCCTCGCTGCCGGACAAGCAGCATGTAGATTGAGATGGGCCAGAGTCAGCCTGCCATTGCCACAAACGACAGGGAAAATATAGCGACAGGTGAAGCGATAGAAGAATGATGCTGAGCACCAGGTATGGGTTGAAGGAGCCCCATGAAGACAAAAGGCAGGCGAAATCGAACAGATCAATCTTCTTTTCCTCGTCAAACGAAGCAGCGTGTACCTAATAGTATGTGGAGGCAAAGGCGCAAGGAAATGCAGGACGAGATGCACATAATATAAATTGCTGTGTAAAAGCGAATCAACTGGGAGCAACTGATGTGGTTAGTGCGCCTGGCATGAAGATAGAAGATAGCTTGTTCTCACAAAAGTGTTTGTTTGGAAACGACACTAGGCGCTGGAAGCGTTTCCCAGGGCGTCAAGGTCACTGAGCTTGAGTCACAGGATTAACCGTTTATGGTAGGGCTGCAGGCCTCGCAAGGCACACACGCAACCACCTCAGAAATTTCCAAAGCTTTAAAGGTTGAAAAATTGTCAGTCCCGTCAAAATTTGGCTTATGTGCGGACGAAAGGCCAGAGGGCATCTAAGCTCCAGGCCTCATTTCAGTAAAGTCGCAAAAATTTCGCTTAGCTCCGAAAAAGGAAACTGGTGGAAGGAGGAGCAGTATTTTCAGGTGTCGTCACGGCTGAACAAGAAGTGACTCGCCGTCTTCGCGCTTAACATCCACCTATGGCTGACGGGGCATATTTGCTGGCACGCGACGGTCCGGCTCTGGATACGGCAACGTCACACCACAACAAGCTGATAGTAATCAATTGGACAATGATGTTCTGCAATCAAAATAGATGGCGCCTAGAATGCGAGCCGTCTTTGATTGCCTGAGTAGACGCCAGCTCTGCTTCAAAGGTAGGTGGCGCATGCCCCACTAGGGCACGTAGTAGCTACTCCGTGACCATCAGGTTATCCAAGTAACTCGGCAACGGAGTTTATTCTATTTCTGTTTCAATGATGCCAACAGTCATCGTCCGGCTCTATGTGGCCCTCAAGGCAACCATCACATATCCAACGCTCGCTGCCACAGGTCCCGGAGGAAGAGGCTAAGACACAAGGCGTACCCTGAGGCAGATGCGCAGGCATCTGAAAGAAAACGCGGTTAACGGGATATCAGGCCCACGAAAGCATGTAAGAGCCACGGCCACGCGGGAAACGCAATTGATGTGGAAGCACACCTGTCGACAGACCGATTAATTAGGTGGCGTTCCTCTGGCCCATGGATCACAAAAGCTCCCGTGGTCCTTTCCATGATTCTGGATAACGGGCGGGCACCATCTTAGTGCCCCGGCGCTGCGAAAAGTATCAGCTAAGACAAGCTTTCCGCTGTGCCATAATCACCGGAAACCTGCATGCGAATTTCATGCTGGATCCATCAAAATCAAGGTACCCAGCCAAACGGGTTGATTCACCCAGAGCAGAAGCCAACAATCGGCCTCCCCACTTCCCTGTTAGAACCAGCTTGGCCTTTTCGAGGCTCCACCGTTCGTGAGATGCAGAAACAAGGCGACCAACGTCCGTTGACGGACTGCTGTGAATTCGCCTCATTTCTCATAGTGCGGACCAAAGGAATGGTCAATCAGCCTGGCGGGCCGTTGGCCAAAACTGGCGACCGCCCCTCCTCTCCCGCACCGGTAACTATCACGTCAATGGACTGTACGGAGTGGCAGGGTTGAGCGCAGATGTGACAGCATCATCCATGATCCAACAGGCCCTGAAAAATGGCCCTCGGTTTGGTTGTGGGGGAGGGGGAGGCAGAATCCGTAAGCTGGCTTCGATGAGAACATGTTTTTGAAGGAAAAGGACCGTGAGTCCACCAATCAAAGGAAATGCACCCGCGACGACTTGGCCCACCAGAGGTGGTGGTCGATCGGCAGCAGGCGATGGTTAGCCTGCCGTGCTTAGCTGTGCGAATTGCATTGCCTTTCGATCGGTTGCCTGTATTGAGAGGAAAAGGAAGATTGAATAAGTAAACTCGTTGACCAGTTAACTAGGTTAGCTAACTAACTAACTCACATAGCTAGTCCTGTCTGCCTCTTTACTTGTTGCAAGCAACGGCTGTCGTCTTCAAGCACGACCAGAACCGGGAGAAACTGTTTCGAACTCGACTGGCTCGTTCTGTTCTGCGCGACGGCCAACAGAGTTTGTGCGAGAGCCGCATCCCTCCACCGACCCTTTTCCTCCTCTTCTCTTCTTCTCGTCTTCGCCCATCGCCGTCGCCAGTCCATGTTCCAGCCCAAGTCTGCCAGCACTTCTCCCGGCCACCCGCAATGTCTTTCTGCTGCACTAGCTCCCAGTAATATACCCTCTTCCCACTTCAACACCCCAACCTTTGTTCGCCACACATCCAACCAGATACACTAAATCAGCCGCAGCATTCCCTCCAAGCTGACACAAGCATTCGTCCTCCATAACTCTGACCAACTCATCTACCTATTTTCCACCGGAAAATGACTAGCTAGATTACATGCCGAACAGTGCATGGTATTGTCTCCGGACTCCCAAGACTTTCAATCATTGGTCCGCTATGCTGCACTTACAGATTGCTAATCCTTAACCAGCCCCCCCCCCCCCCCAAAAAAAACGCACAGCCGGCCGACAGTATTGCTTTTCTTGCCCCGCGATTTTTGGACAGGAAAGCTCTTCTGACCTAAAATATACCAATTTTATTATTAAAAAAGATCGCATTTCGAAAACCCCCCGGTATCCATGGCCAGTTCACGATACCCTACGATGCCGGTCGAATCTAGGACCGTCATCGATCCCAAAGCATCCACTGGAAATGTTGCTTATATGATGGAGGCAAATCTCCAAGAAATCCGGCCGAGACCCCGTCAGGATGGCACCTTTAGCCCATCCCATCGCGGGCAGTACGACCCAAGAAGGCCACCTGAGAACTATTCACTCGATCCTCAACCGAAATTCTACCGCTATCCCGGACATGGTGCCGCAGCAACATCGAATTACACCATCCGCCCACGAAGCAACACCACTCAAGAGACCAGGCGGCCACTGAGCCTGATCATACCTTCATCCACATCTCGCCCCGGTGGCGCGTCGGATTACGAACGACCGTACGCTCCCAGGTATCCGGGCTATTACACGAACGATGACTCTGATCGTTTCCTCTCGCCGGCGTCGTCGCGACCCAGACGACGCACCTTTAGTCCTAGCATAAGGGCTGGTCGTTTGGTTCCGGTAAACAAAGAACGTTCACCCCACGGTGAACGTGGTGGATATATGACGACCGGAGGCCGTTCACGCAGGGTGTACCCCTTGTCCTTATCCGGGCCCCGTCCCCAGGATATCGACATTAATGACGCCTATTCATATACAAACCTGAAGGAGGAATTCCTTGGAGATACTTCAAAACACGCACGTCATCCCGATACCCGTTGCCAAAAGCCACGGCCTGTCAGTCTAACCGGGTTGACCGGGTTGGAAGAATACGTACCCCAAGCCTGGCGTGAGTACAGACATGAGATTCGACCATCGGCCTCAAAAGGTCAAGATAAGTTTCGGAGGGATGATGATCCTAAGGACCGCAACAATGCTAGCGGGAACGAAGCGTCCCGTGCACCTGAGAGCCATCGACGCCATACATCGAAGCGCACTCCTGTATCTCTTCACCAAGAACGAGACAGGCCCTCATATCGAGATAGCCAGGATAGCTCGAGAGATGAGCAAAAATATCGAAGTTACCCAGATGACGACGATGTTTTCACGATTCCGCACATCCGTCACCCCAGTCCGCGTGGTCCCAGACGTGATTCGTTCGGCCACCGGATCGTAAATGATCAGAAAGTC